CAGCATGGCTTTCTTGTCTCCTCAGTTTATCTAGTAATTGATATTAGCATTTAATCTTTATTTTTCCTCTGATGATATATTTATGAGCATTATGACGCAGATTCATTATAACATACTTTAAATCAAAACTTGTTTGTGCTCTTAGGTAAAGAGTATTGGTTTTACATTGGGGGATAAAGCAGATGGCCCATTTCAGCTGGAGATTGACTTCATTGGTCTGTGCAGTGACCTTGCCCACACAGAGGAGTTCGCATACGAGCTTTACAAGAGAAACCCAGAGGTCTAATTGGATTAAGCAAGATTCAGCAATCGTAGATGACAGACAGACACCGATTTATTAATAAAAACTTCAATGGACATTTTTTGGAGGCCGAAATCTTTAACACACATATATAAATGACCACATTTAAGACGAAGTACAAAATGATCATTTATGAATATCGCTCAAGTTCAAATAGTCATTTTGTGTGAACAATGTTTTGAATGACTTTACTGTTTTTGTCTTTACAATTAATTAAAGCCCAGTACAAATAACCACTCATACTAAAAACACATTTGGGGCAACACTTTCTTTTTACACATATAATCAAAATTTAAGAAGTATAAAATCCTTATCTATAAATGGATTTAAAAAATGAATGCTTTTGTTGGATGACCTCACCTCATACTAAGCATATTAACCAAGCAAAAAAACAAGTGTTTACAGAACAGCAAAATATGTACAAAAGTTTGGAATAGAAAAGACGAAAGCTAAACATGTACAGTGAGTGTCTAAGATAGCAAAACAGTAAGAACACTGGAGTTAGGCCATGACCAGACCTCGTCTGGCATCCAACATATTTTCTTTCTTTTGTTTTCGGTCTTCTGTGTGCTTGGCACGTCGCTCCTCTCTGAAAATTAAAAGGCAAAACATATTCAGTGTGGAGAAGTTTCATTTCAGATAATGAGACACAGGAAATTCAAATGTATGCTAGAGTATAAAGGTTTGGGTTGTAAGATTTTTTTTAATGTTCTCGAAGTCACTTATGCTCACCAAAGTGGCATTTATTTGATCAAAATACAGTAGAATAAATAATATTGTGAAATATTGTTACAATTTAAAACCATTCTAATATGCTGATTTGCTGCTCAAGAAATTTCTTTTGTTTTGAAGTTTTGAAAACAGTTGTGCTGCTTAATATTTTTGTGGAAACCTTGATACATTTTTTTTAAAGATTTGAATATAAAGTAAAAAAAAAATAATTCATTTATTTCAAATAGAATTTTTGTAACAATGTAAAAGTCCTTACTGTCACTTTTGATCAGTTAAATGCATTCTTGCTGAATAAAAGGATTCCAAAAAAAAAAAAACTGACCCCAACTTTTTGAACAGTAGTGACCAATCAATGCACAACTAAAATAAGCATCTCACCTGGTTTGAACTTGGTGCTGTTTATAGTTTTTCTGGTGTGAAGGAACAGTCTGAGATTTATTAAGTGCTGTGTTCTTCTGTTGAGCTCCAAACGCCTTCAGTTTTCCTGCAGAGGCAAATGAAGACAATGAAAAGCAAGCAGATACAATTCAATTAAAGGAAGCACTGCCTGACATGTTAGTTCTGGGTATTTAATTAATATTTTTGTCTGAGTGTGGACATACCTTTGTGTGGTTTGTAGGCGAGTGGACGAGAGAGACTGGCCTTCAGATCAAATGTGTTCTTCTTGGTGACACCAGGGGTGACTGACATACTGTTGTTCCCATTAAAAACAAATGGAGTAGCTCCTGTAAAAAAAAAAAAGCAAAACAACAATTAAAAGCAATGCTTCATAAAATCTTTTTTTGTTGTTGATAAATGATTAGCGCAATGTAATGGCATTACTCTTACCAGGTGTTTTGATGGCACCAACACTTTTAAGTTCAGGTTTGGTATGAACATCAGATTTCCTCCCTGGAGTGGAGGTAAGAGGGATGAGAGGAGACATACGAGCTGGAGTCTTTACCAGCGAACGCTTATATTCGTTATCGTGAGTGGTCTGCGAGAACCTAGAGAAGGAAACGCAGCAGTCAACATTTAAGTACAGCTGTAGAAATTGGTTTTATTATAATAAACTATGTTCCATTTAAACACTTTAGTTGTCAATGCTTGGCTTTAGCACCTCAATTTCATTACTAAAAGCATTATAAACTTGAGTGAATTAGAGCCATTGATGTATTTACCGGACATTGATTTTATTAGTGGTGAGGACAGTTGGCCTGAAAGTGGTGCTGTCCTTCAAAGCAGACTTGCTGGCAGACTGCTGAGTGAGCCTGCGTTTTTCTGCCAATGTTTTTTTCTCCTGCTCTCCAGGACTGAAGAGAGACACTCTGCTAGCAGGCACCTTCTAATGGGAGACAACACCAAAGTTTGCTTATGATTTCAGGTCGAAGTTCTAGAAGGAACATACTTGTTTGACTCAGACACAATATGCAATTCTATTTGAACAAGATGTGAGGTTTTTTTTTCGTCACAGTTTTATAAAAATGACACTATTTGACAACAAATTCACAATGAAGCATGATGACACAGATTGATACTACAGCTGATATTCAAGCTTTTTGGTGACTTACAGTTTGAGCCTTTGTTTCAACCGATTTCATCAGTGTCTTCTCTGACAGAGTCTGAAATTGCAAAAATAAATAAACCACTTATAAATAAAACATTTGGAACTCAAACTACACTGTTCAAAACAAAACTGCGGATTCGACGGAGCATCCGGAGGGCTTGCGGTAACCACATGTGACGACCCCGGGCTGGACTCCGCTTCGTCCACGGTGAAAGCCGATCCGGCGATCGACAGCGCAAATAAATAATATTTAATAAATTATATATTTTTTTGTCAGCTACATCAGTTATTGTTGCACATCTCCATTTTGTTGCAAACCTATTTTCTTCTGTGGAACTTGGTTCCATTGTTTGTTTGTTTTTTATTTTAGTTTAATATTGTTTCCATTTTTTTTTCTCCGTACAGTGGATGTCAATGGAAACCAAAACTGTTTGGTTACCAACATTATTCAAAATAACTTATTTTATGTTCCATAGAATAAAATAAGTCATACAGGGTTGGAACGACATGAGGGCGAGCAAATGATGACAGAATTTTCATTTTTGGGTGAACAATCCCTTTAACGACAACAACACTGGTTGTTATTATTTGACAGGCCAGGGTTTCACTCTCATTGAATTTGTTACCTTCAATTCCTTGACAGAATTCCTGAGCACCTCCATTTGTTTGTTCTTCCTTTGGACATAAGAATCAATGGACTCCATCTTTTTGAAGTGAGCCTCATGGAGTTTCTTGAAGTCTAGGGAAGAGTGATTTACAAATACATTACCTCAAGGGCAGAGCTCAGAATATTTGTTTACATGTGTTATGTAATGATCTCAAGTGAAACAGTGAACTAAACAAGAACAAGAAACTGTATTTTGAATAATACAGGAACTGGAAAAAATATTTTGTTTTTGTGTATAAAGTTGGAAGGATCTTATTACTAGGAGTTGTCGGCTTCAGTGCAGGTTTTCTCTTCATCAGGCCCTCAAGACGAGGGATTTTACCCACTGTTCTTCTCCCCACACCTGCAATATATACATTTGAATAGTCAACACCACATACGCTGTGCAGGAACAAATCACAAGGTAACTTATCCATCTCACCTATTAGATCTTAATTAATAACATCTACTCTCAATGAGCAACTTAATATCAAGGCGGTTTTCACCTTTAACACTTGGCTCTGCAGGAGCACCTTCAGAGTCTGGATTGGTTTCCCCAGATGCTTTCTCCACAGGATCTTCTTTAGTAGATGTTTCAGGTGGAACTGGTGTCTCTGTGTCCTTGGGTGAGGACGCCTTCCTCCTCTTGGAGCCCCTTCGGCCCTCCTCTTGTGCCGGCTTTTCTTCATTCTAAATATTACATATAAAAAAAAAAATGAATTACAAAACCCAAGACGTGGATATAACGTGTATATCTAAAAGTAAAAGATGAAACCGTCCAGATTGAAAATAAAACTGCAGCCTACATATGCTCATGAATACCTGAGCAGTGAAAGATGTGGAGCCACTGAGCTTTCTCTTAGCAGTGCGGCCTTTTCCCCGGCGCTCGGTCACAAACGTTGCAGTGTGCGTGTCCGCGGTGGCTGCATCATTATCCTGCAAACAATGCAATGTAATTCCGTTACAGCAACTCTTCCCATTTCAGAAAGATTATGGTGACAATGCACAAAAATAATACTCACATTTTCAGATGTCTGGTGTTGTTGTTGTGAAAAGTGTTCTTTTAAAGCTTTCAACAGCTTTTCAGCCTAGAAAAAAATAAGCATTGAGCATTTAATAAAGTAGATTAGAAAAGTCGCTTTGGATAAAAGCGTCCGCTAAATGACTAAATGTAAATATAGATAACGTTCAGTCACAAACTAACGTAACTAAATGAAAGGTTTGTGATTTCGCGCAAAAACGCCAACATAACTCAAAATCTAAAGAAAAGTTACCATACTTTAATTAGTACAGCGTTCGTATTAAAACATATTTGACGAATCTACATTCACTCATGCAAAATGCAGGTCATTTGGTAACGTTACACATGGAATGGCTTTAGTTAAACAGCACTGTATCGCTTTAAACGCGATTTACCTTCATATTTGCTTTCAGTCCAACCTCTTTCGCGAGGCGCTGCAATTCCGCATATTTAAGCGAATCCAAATCCATATTGTGGATAAACTCAATGTAAAATCTGCAGATATATAACTGTAATACTGAAATTGACGACTCCGTGATATACAGCTCGGTTTGTTTAGGTGGGATTGCCCAAGTGCCGTTTGAAAAATAACGTGTTTCAAAACCAGCCTTTTCCGCTAGATGATTGGTTGAGAAGCCCATGACGACGCAGCACTACATCCAATAAGAAGTGGCGTTTATGACTCGTTGGTTTTGATTGGCTAAAAGGCTTTAGCAAAGGCGGGGCTTGATTAAGCGGTTTAAAGCGCCACCTAAAGTTCGAGCTCATAAATGAATAAACGTGGTTTGCGCCGTCTTGTGTGAGCAAGAACAACAAAACTTGCTTATGTAGTCATGTCGAACAGCACTCGAAGTTTTCTCGAAAGCTCTTGTGATATCGGTCCATGCGACTCGACACAGACTAGTTCAATTGCAGATCAGCTAAGAGCAGTGAAGGACGGAGAAGTCTGTATGGTAGACTATAGGAATTGCAGTGTTCTACAATGCATGGCGTGCAACACAGTGCTTGGAGACTCTCTCGGCATCTGTGGGGAAGTCCAGAGCCTCAAGAGTATCATTTGTTTGAGTAAGCTGTTCTTGGAATTACGTTACTTTTAAAAGCATGCAGACTAAAATTCTGAAGATATGAATGCAGTCTTGAATACTTTTGTAAAAAGCACCAAAGGCAAAACACGTGGGTGACTGTTGTGATGATAACCACTGCATTTTTAATCTTTCCCTTTGAAGAAGTTACTGAGGATGTGAGGGTAAACAAAAAGCTGGAGATGAGTTTGAATGGTCATCTGGCTTTCTCGTAAGTATAGCTGTCTGTTGATCTCAACCGTTTCATCTTATGTCCAGCATGTGTATGTGCTGGATGTCCCATCATCCTGTGGTTTCTCTGTCTGTAGCACCCACCAAGTCCTTCACTGTGCTGGTTGCCATGGTGCCGTTGGCCTGGTTCTTCACTCCACCCCAGAGCACCTGTCTGCTTTACAAAACCTCTTCCTTTTACGAAAAGAGCTGATAAACTGGTGGGTGTAATTTGTTATAGTAATGTCCACACAAACAGAAGTGCATTTTTATTTATAAGGAATAGTTCACCCAAAATGAAAAACTGCTAAAAATCTAACCACCCTCAGGCTATCCAAGATGTAGATGAGTTTGTTTCTTCTTCAGGACACATTTGGAGAAATGTAGCATTACATTATGGGTGCCGTCACAAGGAGAGTCCAAACAGCAGATAAAAACATGATCATAATCTACAAGTAATCCACACGACTCCAGTCCATCAGTTAACGTCTGTGAAATGTAAAACTGCATGTTTGTGTGACTGGAATCATTTGGATTACTTGTGAATTATTGTGTTGCTTTTATCAGCTGTTTGGAATGACATTATGCCGGCACCTATTCACTGTTAATGATCCATTGGTGAGCAAGTGATGTAATGCTAAATTATTCCGAATCTGTTCTGATGAAGAAACAAAATCATCTACTGTCTGGATGGCCTGAGAGTGAATAAATGTAAATGTTTTTAATGTACATTTTTATTTTTGGCTGAACCATTAATTTAAAGGGGTCATATGATGTTGCAAATAAGAACATTATTTTGTGTATTTGGTGTAATGAAATGTGTTTATGCGGTTTAAGGTTCAAAAACACATTATTTTCCACATACTGTTCTGGAACAGTGTTGTAAATACAACTTAACCACTGATTTCTAGTCGTGTCCATTTTTGGAAGGCCAAACAAAGTAGCTTCGCTTTCACAACGAAACACGGCGTCACACACGGTGGCCTAGAGTGAGCGGCGGCGGCGGCGGCTTAGAGTGAGCAGAGGCCGGGGGCTAAAGTGAGGAACGGCCAGAGGGCTAGAGTGAGCAGAGGCGGTGGGCTTGAGAACAGCGCGGCCGGCGGATTCGACGGAGCATCCGGAGGACTTGCGGTAACCACATGTGACGACCCCGGGCTGGACTCCGGGGGGAGGGTCACATCACAGTGGAGTCAGCTGTCGTAACCGTGGCTTGTGTAATGCAAACACATACCAGCTTCATCACTGTGTCTGTTCCCCTTTCGGGCTCCGTCTTTACATTTATTTTGAAAGCTGACGCTCGCGATTATGGTAAGGGGCGTTACATTTCCGACGAGTGCTTGCGGTGTTTGGCCAATCATAATGCACTGGGTCAGCTGGCCAATCAGAGCAGACTGCGCTTGTCGGAAGGAGGGACTTTGTAGAAAACGAAGCGTTTGAGAGAGGCGGGGCATAGAGGACCTACAATAATGTACAGTATTTGAAAAATAATGTGTTTTTTTAACATTAAAGCATGTCAGCATATTCTGTTACACCAAATACACAAAATAATGATCTTTAAAAAAAGCATCATATGACCCCTTTAATGGATTCTTAAATCAGATTTTTTGCAGATAATTTCTTTTTTTTTTTTGACACATGGTTTACATTTTAGCTACATGCTAAGAAGTGGTGCATGTGTTAAAGCCTCCAAAATCAACTTCAAACACCGACTCATGGACAAAAATATTCAAGAGGTGAGTATTTATGGCAATAAATAATTACCGTTTATTTTACAGAAGGGGATCAACATTATATTTTATTCAGTTATATTATAGGTTGCCTTTACAGCTACTCAACTCATTTGGGTTAAACATTGTGAAATTTTTTTTTTCTCCTCTTTCTAGCTGAAGCAGTATTTAGAAGCTCAGCTGAAGCAGGTGAAGATTCTGGAAGGAATGATGGAAAAATTGTGCACACACAATGTAAACTAAAGAAATGCCAGGCATGGAATATGTAGTTGTTTTATTATAACTGCTGAAATAAAGTGTATATATATATATATATATTTTTGCATTATGTACTGAATACTAACTAGATTGTTTGTTTGTTTGTTTGTTTGTTTATTTACATTATGTGCAGAGAAAGGAATAGTATAACAGTAAATAAAAGTATATATATTGTATTATTAAAGAAAAATGACTAATCTAATCTCTTACACTACAAGACGAAATATAACACTGAAGAAAGAAAACAACACATGTTTATGATTGGCACCATGCTGCTTTTTTATTGCTAAAATTTAATATTTTTTGTACAAAATCATGCGGGGTGCATCTGTAGTGCATAGATCAGACTAAGCATAGAGTTTCACATTCAGAGGCAAAATCAGCAATGCATATCAGGTCATCAAAGCATATAAACTTATGTTCTGCACTATTTGCACTGAACATGAAAAAGAACTTGTCATTTTATTCCATTTAAACTCACAATTGTTAGTTTTGCTAAAACGCACTGTATCTTACCTCTTGAATCACAGACTTGTTACATTTTCATCATACAATACTCAAATCCAAAAAAGTAACTTATTTTAATGAATACATCTGTGAATAATTTACAGCAGCAATAAACCTTTGGGATTTCATGCATTTGAAAATAAAGTCACAACATTGGTCTACTCATAGATTTATCACATTTCTGCATAAATATGTTCAAGCAAAGCTTAATTATTGCATGCATCACAAAACATTTTTTATCCACTTCTACCATGCATTAACAAATGTGTTTTGCACTCTTATTAAGAAAATACTAGTTAATTCCCAATGGATCTTTTTCATTTTGTAGTATATTGTTTACCCAGGATTCACTGAGACAATGAATCATCAGAGTGTCACAAACTGCTACCAGAACACTGCTCATATTGCTGTTAATGAAAATAAGCTGTAAATATACATACAGCTTATGTGCGTTCCACAATGGTTTGAATGTAAACATGCAAGGTCAATAGAAGGCCATAAGCCCTGCATATATATACACATTTACTACCTATCAACTTTCTTCCACCTGTACAAAATAAAAAAGGTATTTCATATTTGTCAGACCCTTGGAGCTACCTTCACATATTTATTTGATGTCAACAAATAATGGGGCTGTTAACAGCTAGTTTTGTATTACCAAATATGAGCAATGGGATGTTCTAGATAAAACACTTATCACTGTCACAAATATGCTACATATTTCTATTTCACAAACACCACTGAACTATTCCGACACTATAATTCATGCATAAACTGGTTATTGCTTCTAAACGTTGAACTTAATACACATCATGGCTTGCATATCTTTGAGTATATTTAAAAATATAGTTTGCATTCCAGTCATTGAGGTATTTATCTACATTACAATGCTTTGATAATTGCTTTATGCCACTTAATATACTACATGTTACTTTAAAATCTAGAGTTTCTGCTACTAGGAATAATCTACCCACAGCTCTAGTCTGAGACAACATTACCTGATGGAGAATGCGATATTAGAGGTATGAATACAAACACAGTTCTAGGTTACCCTTTCTAATCAGGACGAGAATACTTTAGTCTTCTTTGTGTCCGATTATTACAGACCAAATAATGTTTCAGGATCAACTGTTTCCATAAGGAATAATCTTGAAACAGGTATGAAATAAAACTCTTGACTTCTTCTAAGCCACCAAGCCAAATTTTCTGCCAGTTAGGGACTTTCGTTTTGATCCGAGTCAACTATTTTGGGCCCAGAACTTAATTTTGCACAGTACAAACTAGGACAAACTCACACAGTGCTTATGGTAAATGCACATACTTCCCAGAAGGCCAACAATTCACTAAAAATGTTTTTTTTATTGGTCTTATGAAGTATTCTAATTTGTTGAGATAGTGAATTGGTGGGTTTTTGTTAAATGTGAGCCAAAATCATCACAATTAAAAGAACCAAAGACTTAAACTACTTCAGTCTGTGTGCACTGAATTTATTTAATACACGAGTTTCACAATTTGAGTTGAATTACTGAAATAAATGAACTTTTCCATGACATTCTAATTTATTGAGATGCACCTGTATGTATTTCAGCATGGCTAGCTGCACGTCAATACCAACCGCCATTTTTCTAATCCTCAGCATGCTACAACACATTATTATTAACTAATAGTGATTACCTGTGAATAAACAACTGTGTTTGCCGATTAAAAAGTAAAACGAACAAACTCAGCATGAGTGAAAAAATGACTCGTCCAGTCACCTCTTAATCAAATCGGTCAAGATGTAGATGCTGCATCCATGGTGGTTACGAACTAAATCATTATCTGCCTATTTTATTTTCTAAACGACTTTATTATAGCATATACTGAATGTCACTACGACTATTAAACTCAGCAAGCATCGCTACCGTACATGCATGGCCACGTTTATGCTGGCACTACAAATCCCGCCACCCTAAAGCAAGCGGATGAAACTATACATCATTTAATGGAAGACATTGGTGATTTTGTTGTTTTTGCGAACAACTTGTCACTTGTTTGTACAATACATATTCATCTCAAAACAAGACAAAGGAAAGAAACAAATATTGCACATTTCCCACACTGAGGCCTCACTACTCTTTCTCCCATGAAAATTCATACTCGGTACATGACACTCTTATTTCTACCAATCCATATGATAGAAACTACTGTAAAAACGAAACAAAAACTGGGTACATTTTCTCAACACAGATGAAGTTAAATTCCTACGTTCACAGTGCACTGTTGCTGAGGACCGAGCACAGGCTGTGACCAACGTGCCATAATCTATTTGAGATGATACATTAAAACATACTAAACTATTAACAAATATTTAAAAACGTTGTGACCAGGGTCTAACATTTAACCATTCTACTGCCTTTCTTCAGGCCTAATGAGGATGATAACCATGAGAATGTTACTGGATGAAAATTACATGTTTATTTCACTCTGCATATTTTCTTGGAAAACATGTAGGACAAATAGATACTGGCAGCCAAACCTTTGGAATAATTCAGATTTTTTTTAATGGTCACCAAGGCTACATTTATTTGATTTAAAATACAGTAAAAACAGTAATATTGTAAAACATTATTAATTTGAAATAAGTTTTCTATTTTTATATATTTCAAAATGTAATTTATTCCTGTAATGGCAAAGCTACATTTTCAGCATATATTGCGCCAATCTTCAGTGTCACATGATCCTTCAGGACACAATCTAATATGCTGATTTGGTGCTCAAGAAACATTTTTTATTTTTATCAACATTGAAAATGTTTGCTTCTTAATGTTTTTTTTTTTCATGGAAACTGTGACACACTTCCTTGTAAATGTTAATTTAAAAGTTAGGATAAGTATGATTAAAAAAAAAAAAAAAGAATACTTTTATTCAGCAAGAATGCATTAAATTGATCAAAAGTGACAGTAAAGCGAATAATTTTACTAAAAAAATCTATTTAAAATAAATGCTGTTCAATTAACTTTCTATTGCTCAAAAAATCCTGTAAAAATATGTCATGGTCTCAAATCTTAAGCAGCAAAAACTGATTTCAACACTGACAACAATAATGAAGGATCATGACACCAAGTAATGTCTGCTAAAAAATTCAGCTTTGCCATCACAGGAAAAAATTACTTTAAAAAATTTTCAAATTATTAGTTATTTCCCGGTATTACTGTTTTACTGTATTTTCATCAAATCAATGCAGCCTTGGTGAGCAGAAGAGACTTCTTTCAAAAATAGTTAAAAAACGTAATTATTCCAAACTTTTGGCCGACAGTGTCCGACCAGTGAACTACAAGGTCTCTATATGATTTGTGTGATATTCCCAAACCTATTAATAAAATAACATACATGAAGTGAAAAGAAACACGCTCACTCTTCCAACTGATTTCCAAACCATCTGACAGACAATGACTCTATTTACATCACTGTGAGAAAAGCATGTGAATATAGTTTGATCGGAGTGCTCGCTGTGTGGGTCTGAGCTGTGGTAACTTCTGAGGTAGTAAAATAATTATATTTCATTATGTCCTGCATCTCATTAGCACCCCACCCCCACTAGAAAGGTTTAACTGTGGAATTTATAAAGCTTATGCTCAGGTCAGTGTGCCACTCTCTGTCTTGGTTTGTCAGTACAAGTACATAGAAAACATGAAAGCATGGTTCATGGTTTTGCAAAAGCACCAATATGAGTTCTGAATGAAGAGAACAGCTATCTGTCTACAGTTTGTTGTCTCAGAAATTACATTTTCAGCCATTTTCAAAACTAAATAAATGACCAAAGAGTGCTTTACTGGTAGGTTTAAAGCTAAGCAATGTAAATAGACAATCGGTAGATGGGAGCTTTAAAAAAAAAAAAGACATGTCTAGGCACTTAATCTGCAGATAATAAAACTGTTGGATGAAGCTACTTCATCTTGCTTGCATGATTTAGTTTTGAAATGTGCATTTGTTTTACCTGCAAAGCAAGTGCGCTTCCACTATTTCCATTTTCACTTTTAACACAACCTGCAATCATATAAATACTACACTGGACATTATTTATAACAAATATGACCAGAAGATGGCTCTGTACTGTGGCACAATTGTGTTACTTCTTTTGGACACATGAAGAGCTTATGGTTCTTTCATGGATAAAAACAACTTCAGTTGTCGTCTCCAAAGTGCAGAGATGATATGTTCATAGACCAATGAACAAACATTTCCCTGAAACAATGCTGGAGGAAAGTCAACTTATCGGGATGGAGAGCAGTTTGAAGAACAAAGACATGACGGTCTCATCTGCACAGAATGGACATATGAAACAGGTCAGATAAGGCAAGGAGGTAGGGCTGAGTTGACAATATTGATTTTAATCAATCTTTATTTTGATAAACCAATATCAGTTTTTAAATCCCAAGATCAATCTTTTAGTTTATGCTATTTTGTTGATGTGTTAACAAAACTAACAAAACATTATTTGTAGCACACATGCCATCCAATAATCACAATAGGCCCTAACAGTATTAGCTTTCAAATCATGACAATTTTAATCACAAAATTCAAACAATAAATACTATTTTGACAATCTATAATATTAAACATGGAAAGAAACAGTACAACTTGCATGTACTACAAGCAATTTAAATGTTCGTATAAATCAAACTACATTTTATTGAAGTGTTTTAACTTATATTGTATGAATCAAATTACATTTTTGTGTTGGGTGTTGGTTATTATAGCTAAAAATAAACAGCAATTGAACTTAAAAGTTTGGACTTGTTCATTTAACCTCTAATATTATTGAAATGTACCAAATGACAGGGTTCCCTGTAGTTTACAACATTAGTACATAACATAACCTGTACCTGATATATACCCAAATTAATTGAAATCAGAATCGAATAAAGAGATGGTGGATCCGAATCAAATTAATTTGTTAAATCAGTGTCAATACCCAGCCCTACTACAAGGAAGTGAGTTATCTTGTGTTATTTTTGCTGCACAAACTGACCTACCTGGTCATGAGTTCCTTTCATGACTGTTTCGTTCTCTTCTTGATATGACATATGAAGAGCACTGTTTTGATAAGACAAAGCAGGTTAATTCAGATCTGCATTCTCGTTTAACAATATAGTTATTAGTTTTAGAGGACTTATGAAAGGAAAGGACAAAGTGCTAGAAAGAACAATGAAAATGAATACACAACCAAATAATGTGCATCTCTTCTCCTGCACAATGCATGACCATCTACCGAGTGACGCAAGTGCTGGAATGCGAAACTGCAACACAAAGATTAGACAAAGACAAGCTCCTGTAGTGCATGTCAACACTCATCCTGCACTTACCGTCTCTGGTGATCTCGTGCTGGTTTCGAAGCGAGTGAACTGGAACTAAAAGTCACCTCCATCATACTCGTCGGTTGAGTAGGACGGGCCAGGCTCTGAGATGTTCGATGAGCCTGGCCCCGCTGCGCGCTACGCCATTTCGGTCCCGTGTGCTGTGCTCTGCTGCTGCTGCAGCCTTCTTCCGGCGCGCATCGGTATCTGCGCTCTGATTGGGCAGCCGAGCGATCCTTCAGGCGAACAAGACCCGCCCTCTGGGACAATAACAGACACCAGTCCACAGGTGAAGAGAGATTTTTATAGGCTATATATGAATGAAAAATTTACAGCAGCATTATAAATAACAACCAAGAGAAAGGTAGAAAAAACGCCACAGGGAATTAAAGACAATACGAAGATACGTGAAAGAACATGAATAATTCACATACTTAATATTTTGTTCATGATTATGTAGGAAAAACTTCCAAATATTGAAAGTCTCGATAGCTTTGAAATCTCGTATGCTCACCAAGGCTGAATTTATCTGATCAAAAATACAGTAAAAATAGTAATATTGTGAAATATGATTACAATATAAAACATCTGTGATGGCAAAGCTGAATTTTCATCAGGCTCCAGTCACGATCCTTCAGAAATCATTCCAGTACGTTGATTTGGTGCTCAAGAAACGTATCTTATTATTTTTAATGTTAAAACCAGGTGAGCTGCTTAATATTTTTTCAGAATTTTTGGATAAATAGATTTTTTTTGAAAGAACTGAATTTATTTGAAACAGAGTTTCTCTAAACGTTGTGGATGACTTTGTCACTTTTGATCAATTGAATGTGTTCTTGCTGAATAAAAATATTATTTTCTATAATAATTAAAAAATATTACTCACCCTAAACTTTTGAACAATAGTGTATGAGTATGGACTTTAGCTACACTTTTTATAAGAATATTTAAAATATATTTAAATACAGGAGATTGACACGTGTGGAGGGAGATTTGTTCATTTTGCATATAAATGAGGACAGATTACTGATGATAAATAAATGACTGTATTAATAATATACAACGCGTGGAATGCAAATAGCAAAACTAAATAAATATTTAAAAACCTGGCAATAGTTTTATTGCGCTAGCACTGAATAAAAATAGTAGCCTGTTGTTATGGCTTGACTCAGTGCTAGTCTGTTTTATGCAATAAAATAAGTTAAATGAATGTGCATAAAGCACGGAATGCATTAACCTTTCCTAACCGGTTTTGTGTAATGTATGTGCCTGAGGCTTGGCCACATGATATGCTTTGATCACACATACACGCACGCACGCACGCTTGCCTCCTCCCCACTGCGTTCTGCGCGTGCGTGCGTCTGCGGTACAACATCAACAGAATGAGCTCTCCTCGTTTACTGTCAGAAATTAAACAAAACCCTTTACATCCCAAGTAATTAAGTCTGTATTTAAGTATTGAGTGCGTTTCAAACTAAATCTCACAGTCGCCTTATCCGGACTAAACTCTGCGGTTGAAAGTGGTAAGAGATTTTCTGCGATTTCTTGATATTAGATTATGTGCAAATGCAACAGTGCTAGGCCGCAGTCTTAAAATCGAGCATGCATTTGTTTTTATGGGCGTTAAGATTCAACCATACCCGAGAAATTTTAAGGCAATTTGGTTTCAGAATGAAAAAAAAGACATGTCTTTCAACCTACATGTTTAACAGCAACGCTTCCGCAAAAGTTGCCCATCAATAACGGCTGGGCTGCAAAACACTAGAGTGACCAGGAAAGATTATTCCCTTTCGTAAGCAGGATACAAAATTCTTCAAAAACTAACCATAACACAAATGCATTTTTATGCTTGTTATAGTGAGACCAACTTTGTGGCACGTGCATTGGCAAGCCAGTTGTGCTGCATCATGCGGGTCTTCTTTATCAATGTCCATGAGACCAGTGGTGATGGCGCTCTATATGGTTGGCTGAGTTTGCATGGGGATAAATCTGCTGAGCAATGATCCCTAAAATGACAAAACTTAAAGTAGTCACACTCAATGCAAACCCGTTTGATTTGGCAAGTTTCACTGGTTTGACAATTGCTGCCATAAAATGCTTTACAATGCATCTAAAAAAAAAAAGTTACCAACCCTTCAAGTAGGTCCAAGGCACAAGTGAAAGTAGCCTACAGTTACAATATGAGCCATTTGAGGAAGAGTTTACGAACATAACAACATGTTAGAACTGGCCAGGATCTAAAAACAAACTAATTTTCTTTAAAACCTGTTCAGACATTACAATATTGCAGCATATGGGTCCACACCAAAATAATACATTTCTTTTGTCCTGCAGACCTGGTAAAACTACATTTTGTGCCACCATATTGCTGGAATGACAATAAACTAAACATGATTTGACTTGTAATAACATAGTATGGTGTCTTGACAGTGTCTTAAAATACCATGAAAAAATACCATGGTATGTGAATTAATTCAGTATCCAGTGCTCTGGGTCTGTTTGGATAGGATTAGCTTACTTAGTCGCCTCTGGCTTGCTTAGTTGGGGACACTTCATTTCCAGCGATACCGTTGACTTGATTGCAAAGATACTATTTAAACTGAGCTGGATGTTGACATCACTGAATTCAATGATGAACTGTCTTTAACTGAAAAATTTGTGTTTACTATTGTCATTTTGCATTATTGACACACTATTTTCCTAATTAATGCTGTTCAGTTGCTTTGACACAATCTGTATTGTTAAAAGCGCTATATAAATAAAGGTGACTTGACTTGACTAAGAAACCTATTATCATTTAATCTCATTAGATATGTTTAATACATCACATTAAGCAAAAAACTTGCCTTTTGCATTTTTAATTTGTCAAATGTAGTTGGTTGTCCACATATTCCATCCACTAAAACAATTTGCATACTGTGCACAGGCAGCATTCATCCTGAATTGTGCAGAAATAGCAAGATAAATATGGTAGTAGCTATTGCAAACATTGTGACCTTCTGAACAACCTGTGATGATGGTAACAGTAAACAAAGATGTAGAATAATGTATCTGTAATAAGCATTAAATTACTTGAAAAGAGGGGCTGACACACAAAAACCATGTTAGAATATAGAAGATGAACTTTGCCAATGATTTATTGTATAATACAACAATAACGAGATTGGCATCTAATAATATTTGGTAATAAATCTCCTGATAGAAGCAAGCATTCATTAAGTATAACAATAGCGTCGTGAACAATGCATGATACACTAGCATTCAAAATGCTGTTTTTTTTTATGTTGATTTATTAGGTATGCATTAAATGAACAAAAGTGATAGTAAAAACATTTACAATGCTTCAAAAGACTTACATTTCAAATAAATTATGTTCTTTTGAACTTTCTAAAAATCTGTAAATCACAGTTTCCACAAACTTATTAAAGGGATAGTTCACCCAAAAATGAAAATAGTCAGAATTTACTCACCCTCATGTCGTTCCAAACCTGTATGAGTTTGTTGAACATGAAATAAGATATTGTGAAGAATGCTGGTAATCAAAAAGTTGATGGTCCCCATTGACTTCCATAGAATTTTTTTCCCTACTATGGAAGTCAATGGGGGGGGGGGGGGGGGGGTAAAAAAAAATGACACCATTTTCATTTTTGGGTGAACTATTCCTATTCCTAGCACAACTGTTTTCAACATTGATAATAATAAAAAATGTTTCTTGGAGCAGCAAATTAGAGTAATTTCTGAAGAATCATGTGCCATTGAATGGTAATGGCTACTGAACATTTGGCTTTGCCATCACTGGAATAAATTAAATTTTATATTAGAAAATAGAATAGAATTTTTTTTTCATTGTAATATTTCACGATATTCCTGTATTTACTGTATTTCAAAATCATTAAATATTAGCATAGGATATTTAATACAAAACCTCCATCAGCAGTGATTTTTTTATACATAAGACCTCATTTTTTTGTCACGACTCATTCTTATAGTGTGTTTGGAACTTGGTGTTATTTGTTTTCCTGCAAGTATCTAAAGTGTAACCAACTAGAAGTGCAAAAAATTGAGAGGGGGAAGAGTGGATCTGGAATGGCCGGAGGAAGAAGAGGAGCGAATAGAACGACATATTGTCGTTCTCCGCTGAGCAGTGAGACGGGTTCCGTTGGCAACTGTAACCACTCCACCAGCTCACCCGTGACAGGTGTGAGATCACGAACCAGGTGGGGGCACGTTTGAGCAAAATGGTACACATAATAAACTAATGTTCTGTTGCTATGATAACATCCACCTCCAATGTTTAAAATAACATGCTGTGTGGTCATCAGGAATGGATCCGGGACGGGAATGTCCAGCCCTCCGCTGGCCACTCAGACGGTGGTGCCACTGAAGCACTGTAAGATTCCGGAACTCTCCGTGGACCGGAACGTCCTGTTTGAGCTCTACCTGTTTGCGTGCCATCTTATAGCGCTGTTCGTGCATTACATCAACATCTACAAAACAGTCTGGTGGTACCCCCCCTCGCACCCACCTTCACACACCTCTCTAGTGAGTCACATGTCATAAGTCTTAAATGAAACTCCACAGAAGCATCCAATGTTCATTTTTCCACAAAATGAATTTCTTTTGTCTCTGCAGAACTTCCACCTCATTGATTATAATATGTTGGTGTTCACCATCATAGTGCTGGCTCGCAGGCTAATTGCTGCCATTGTAAAAGAGGTAATGTGCATTATCTCCTAGCTCTTCATTCCATTTTAATAGCTTTAAAAATGAATAAGTTGTGCATTATTTTCCTCTTCTTTGCTCCAAAGGCATCACAAAGTGGGAAGTTGTCCTTCCCGCACTCTGTCTTCCTGGTGATGGCACGTTTTGCCATTCTGACTCTTGCAGGATGGAGTCTGTGTCGTTCACTTATTTATCTCTTCAAGATGTATTCCATACTCAGCCTGCTCTTCCTCTGCTATCCGTGAGTAATAATCTACACATCCGCTGATGTTGATTCGAATGTTTTCAAGGTGTTGTCATATTTACCATTGTTTTGTGAGGTTTCGTGGGTGAAATCCAGTCATTTCAACAGGAATCCACGTGATCTTGAATTTCTTGTGAAGGTGAAAGATTTCCCTCACAGATTTTGCATCAGGTTCAAGTTGGTCGCACAAATTTGCCATGTTGGCCAACAGAAAGCTGGTTGGTCTGAATGTGATTTCTGTGTGAGATATGAATAATGGAACTTTTTGCTCATGAAATTTTGCTAATGTGACTGCACCTTTACTGCTTTCATAATGCATGTATGATGGGTCATGATGGTTGACTTGCTACTGATAATATGATATTATTTTGATTTTATGGTCTATATCAGGGCTGTCCAAACTCGGTCCTGGAGGGCCGGTGGCCTGCAGAGTTTAGCTCCAACTTGCCCCAACATACCTGACTGGAAGTTTCTATGCCAAGTAAGAGCTTGCTTAGCTGGTTCAGGTGTGTTTGATTAGGGTTGGAGCTAAACTCTGCAGGACACCGGCCCTCCAGGACCGAGTTTGAACAGCCCTGGTCTATATGATGGACGGACGGACGGACGGATAGATAGATAGATAGATAGAGTAGTACTTTGATGTTCACTTTGATGTTTTGGCTGGTTTATAGATTTAAATGTGCATAAATGTGCAATTATTTTAAAGTAGATTTGAGTCACCCATTCAGAATTTTAAAGTCATGGCTATCTGTTTTATAATATTTGTAATGAATTCAATTGTATTATCTTGTAATATTTGATCTATCTTTCCCCCTCAGGTTTGGAATGTACATCCCTTTCTTCCGACTCAGCTGTGACTTCCGGAGGGCTGGATCCATGTCCCCATTGGGCAGCATGAGTTCTAAAGAGGTGAGCAGTGCTGCTTTGGGCCGTGGGGGACGGGACTATCTGTCCGTCCTGAAGGAAACATGGAAGCAGCACACCAGTCAGCTGTACAGTGTTCAGCCCATGCCCACCCATGCCTGCTGTCTCTCTCCTGACCTCATCCGCAAAGAAGTGGAGTACCTGAAGATGGACTTCAACTGGAGGATGAAGGAGGTGTTGGTTAGCTCCATGCTCAGTGCCTACTACGTGGCGTTCGTACCTGTTTGGTTCGTCAAGGTGAATGCATCGACAAGTGGTCTTTTGGGCATAAACGCACATACAGTGTGTGGACTGAGAGAACAGGTTTGGTTGATGAGGAACAGGTGATTCATGTGTAATGAGTCGATAAATTCAGATCAGACTGGCTGTAGGCAAAAATCATTCTTGGTGTTTAAACCAGCATATGCAAAAAATTTTCCCAGATATTATTTTTATGGCTTTCTATCTGCCCTCAATGCAAAACTTTGGTTTTGGCGTCATGGGTTTTGTTGAAATTCCTCTGGATGGAGTTTGTGTGATAGTTTGTTTTATTAAAAAGAACGTGTCAACTTTGACAATACATTTTTCAATGCAAGCTGCTAAAAATCAGTGAATCGTCAATTATATCACAGTTGTTTTTGCTTATGATGCTCATTGCTTATAGTTCAAAGGCTTGGGGTCGGTAATATTTGACATTTTTTCTTCATAAATCACTCTTAATATGCTGATTTGGTGCTCATGAAACATTTCTTTATATTATCTGTTGTAATGTCAGTCGGTATTAACAGTTATGTCGTTTCATATTTTTATGTAAACCATAATGTTAAATCAGGGTTTTTTCATGAATAAAAATTTCAAAAGAACAGCATTTATTTGAAATAGAATTAAATTAATATTAATATTAATTTATTTTAAAATATGACACCCCAAGCTTTTGAACACTAATGTGCATCAAAAATAAGCATTGTGATATATAAAGACATGCTTATGTATATTATAGATTTGTGTGCTAGTGTGTTATACGTGGCACAGCACATTTTGTCTGAGACATAAATATTTTAAATAAATTGCTTTACATTCATGCATATGGTTCTTTCTTAATTTTTCTGTTTGTGTATAGAGCACACAATATGTAGATAAACGCTGGTCCTGTGAGCTGTTCATCCTGGTTTCTCTCAGTACTTCTGTCATTCTGATGCGGCACCTGTTACCCCCCCGCTACTGCGACCTGCTCCACAAAGCTGCCGCTCACCTGGGCTGCTGGCAGAAGGTCGATCCTTCCCTCTGCTCAAACGTCCTCCAACACATGTACGTCTGACCTGGGGTTATAGAAAGGGCATAAGTTTAGGTTGTGTTAGGTTTTTGTGTGCGTCTTTGCTGGGTTTTGAATAATATTCTTTTTAGTGCTAAAATGTAAGTATAGCAGGTGCTGAATAATTCCAAATGCATTTACAAAAGAGCCTAATTTAAATTCTTGTTCACAGTCTGATGTGCACTTAGCCTTAAAATAATACCTGCATTGTGTTGCGTGTTTCAACATGTTCATTTGATCTTGGGTGTTGCCGTCAACAACAGATTTATTCATAGCATGTTAAATTAATTTGAAGCCAAGCCAGCATAATTTTTTTTTCAAAAATCACAACTAGAATATATTTATATTACATACTGATTTTAACCTGTTTTTCCTAAATAATATTACCTCATTCAATTAAAGGGGTCATAAGATGCGATTTCAATTTTTCCTTTCTCTAGTAATGTACAGTATGTGGAAAATAATGTGTTTTTTTTTACTTTAAACCGCATAAACACATTTCATTACACCAAATACACAAACTAATGTTCTTTTTAGCAGCATCATATGACCCCTTTAATTAATTAATTTATTGTTTATTTTTTTATTTTATTTTTTTATGTTGTATGTAATATTCTTCTTAAATTGTGTCAAAATGCATTGTTTTTAAGCAAATGTAATGTTTTTTATTTTTTGTAAGGTGTAATAGCTTTCTTTGTCTGTTTCCTGCAGATGGACAGAAGAGTACATGTGGCCACAAGGAGTTTTGGTCAAGCACAGTAAAAATGTTTATAAGGCCATGGGCCATTATAATGTAGCAGTTCCCTCAGATGTCTCGCATTATCGTTTCTATGTAAGTATAAGCTGTAGATGAACTCTAGAACAACTTTGAATGGAAATGTTTTTAGAAACATTATTAAAAAGAGTTAATAATATATCAATGGGAATGCTATTGCAATAACCACTGTTCCCCTCTTTTTTTTTTACTGTCTTTTAACAGTTTTTCTTCAACAATCCTCTTCGAATATTGAACATTCTTATAATCCTGGAAGGTGCAATGATATTCTACCAGCTATATTCACTCATGTGTTCAGAGAAATGGCATCAGATGATATCATTAGCTCTAATATTATTCAGTAATTATTATGCCTTTTACAAACTGCTCAGAGACAGAATAGTTCTGGGAAAAGGGTATTCGTATTCAGCCAGTGCCTCCAATCAGAAAGTCAGTTAGACAAGGATAAATTATTGTCGGTCATCACAGATGAGCAGAAAACATGCACTAGAGCTGTTTATTTTTTCTACAAGTGCATTTCTGTCTGTTCTGACTTGTCATAAAATAAAAAGGAATCATATTTTTGTACTATGGCTGGTTCTCTGAAGTTTTCTTTTAAAGGACATTAATGTCCTAGTCAAGCACAATGGTGTTTCTTTATTTTGAATCAAATACTATTTAAAAACAAGTAAGCACTAGATTTATCATTATCTTGATATTTCTTAGGTTTATCATTAGTCTGTTACTGTACCATAACCGCCTCTAGATGGCGACAAACAACGGTTGACTAATGAATACTGGTATTTACAACGCTATTTCGTTTTTGTGGTATATAATGGTTTATTAAAAGCCGCTATATAAATTACTAGCTGTGTGGATGAGGTTTTAATAATTAGTGTGAGGTTCTTTAAACTGGATCTCAGCTCGCGTGATTACGCGCTCTAGTATGGTGAAGGTTCTGCTCATTAATGTTGATGTTTTGACGTCACTCAGAAGCATACCTATTGGTGAGGCTTGGCTCTTGAATATTAATTAGATAATCGGGACGCTTCTTTAATGCCGTCCATAGCAAAAGCGTGTCTCATTAATATTAATAATAAAGCTTCACCATAGTACTAGTCGCAGAATCGCGGTCGGGAAGTAGGAGAGCTCACGCTGGAGACGGCAAGCACTTGGTTTCTTAAAACGGACCGCGTATAAATCCTGAGTTAATGAAATGGAAAAACCAACACGGGCACCTTAAATTTTTGTTGGAAAGCTCAAAGAGCTTCATCCTTGTCCTCGAACCGGTGAGTAAATCGTTTTGTTCAGCGATAGGACGATGTGCGCATCGTGCCTCACGGGGCATCCTGTGCAAATCCCTTCCATTCAATGTAAAACCCTCTTCGCCAAATGAAAAATGCATCAGATTTTGCACTGATAAACACATCAAGTCAGACGCTAAGAGTCTACAACTGCAAAGAAAAAACAAATAGTCTAGCATGATATACAGGACGACGCTACAAATCTTCGTATTTATTTTGTAAACTAGTGCATTAATTAAAATTGAGATTTTTGGGCTGATTATTTATCTAAAAGCACCATGATTGACCCAGATTGTTTAGTGCTTACTGGCAATGAACGATCTTTTACAGGAAAGGCTATTATATACAATCTATAAAATACAAGTATATACGATGCACATATTCATGTATAATATGCAGGGTTAAT